ACTGACCAGTACACCGATTTCAATAGTTTCGTTAGCATCCAACAGAAACGAAACTTAGTCAAATGCTTGGCCACCAGGGCGAGGGCAATTTGCTCTACGGAGCTGTTGGATGATGAGCTGACGCTCATTAGAAACACCCTGCGTGAGAATGGATACCCAGATTATTTTATCGAAAGAAATCTGATTGAACAAATGCCGAAAACTCCCATGCAAGCTGTGAGAAAGAAAGATTTGTTCATCAATTTGCCATTCAAAGGCGATACCGTGAGCGGAATCCTACTTCGACGACTGAACAGGGACATTGGCAACGCCTTCAACGCTGCTAAGTTACGGTGCGTGTTTCTTGGCGCTCCAATGATCCACATTCAAAATAAGGATAAACTGTCGATGCTGACCTCATCAATGGTTGAATACTCTTATGTTGGTTGAACGGCACGACAGCTATCTACCCGGATCAAAGAGCAACACCCACGCTGGTTAACACTAGGACAGACCGGAACAATAAACAGCTCCATCCTAACCCATTTAGTCGACACCGGACATCAAGTTTCGTGTCCCCCACACCAAGTACACGGGTGTTCAAATGCGCACTCTAACAAACAAGTTTGTTGGTTACTCTTTTTACAGTTTGGAATTGTGGTTTATTTGGATAGTTTTTTCACATCATTCCACGTCAATCCACTCACCCCCACCCCAAGATGCATGCTCAGTTCCCATATGTTCAACACAGGGAAATGAAAAAGATGGCTTAGCAAGTTACAATTTCGCAGTTAGCTCAGATGAATATAGAACATCAGTCCAGTTCAGATGACAAAGATTGGTTGAGATAAGGAACCATGGAGGAGTCGTATGTATTTGTATTCTCGTAACCATGTTAGTATTTAAAGAGACCTGGAAATGTATTCAGAAACGTTGGGGGGAAGGCTAGGATCAGAATACATCTTATGAACCATGCTTATCATTGGTGTCGGTGTATTGAAAGGCACCACGATGATGGATATATGCCCTGGATAATCTACAGCACATGGGCAAACACCAGAATAATCTGGATATCAAACATTTTAGTGAACGATGAGAGACACAGTCACCGTGAAAAAATGTTGTCATTTAAAAGCTGTCGGGTCAAATGCAAGGAGGTGGATTAGAGATTTAATAAAAAAAATCAAAAGAAAGTTCCCCGAGTTTCGCAAGAATATCGTTGAGAAGGAATGATAATAACTTCCAAGTATTCACTTAACTCCCCTCCAATATTCCGTTTGTGAATAGTGGCTGCCACATCTCTAAGAGATCTGACTACAGTTTACTCTTGCAGAGAGACAGGAACAACTGAACACGTTCAGGTAAACTGGTAGAGGTTGGTTTTACTAAATGCATTATATTCCAGTAAAGGTTTTTGCTTTCCATGGTACACGTTTCATGGAATACGGTTTTTAAGCCAGACCCGACTGTATCACAACGATCCCTCCCGCTTTATTCCCAATACATATTATGACTACTTGTTGACAATGTATTTTGCCCGAAATTCACTCATACGCACACGTTCGGCCATTCTCAACTTCATTCAGGCCATCTACAAAGCTTTGGTGCATCGGTCCACAAAAGCCAATTCAAAGGGTAATCATGCACATCCCGAGAATGAATCCTCATGTCAGGTAGTCATGGTTCTCGGAGCTGGTCGAGGCCCATTGGTCAATGCAACTCTGTCTGCCTCTGAGCGAGCCAATTGCCCGGTCCGCGTATATGTAGTCGAGAAAAATCCCAATGCGCTTTACACGCTTCAAGTAAGTTGGTGTTGACGACGTTTTTCTTAGCGCTAAATTTCTCACGCATAATCGGATTAGGCCGTTACTGGTTTTAGTCCATATATATTAGGAAAAAATGCATTGATTGAGTTTGTTTGTTTATCTTTTTCATCCGTTCGCTGTCTTTTGCCGCTCCATGTGCATGAAGGAGTAGAAGAAAGATAGGAAAGTTAATAGCAATGTCGGAGAGGGGCAATGACGAATTCCGATAAACACAGGTTACTAAGGTCATGAGTCGATGCACGAACAGAAAGCGTCAATATGATCGGGGGTGTATGTTTCGGGTTGTGGCTGATCACCATTCTGTTACCCCTCACGAAATGCTCCGGTACGACCAAGCCTCTCAAATCACTTCTGCTGAGGAAGCCATACTCATTGCCTCCCCGTGGCAGAGGTGCTTTCCTACCAAAGCGAAAGGACGAAAGGCCAATATCCGGGGCTATACCCAAGTTGGTGGACTGTAGGCTAAAACCCGGATCCCAAACCAAACAAGATGAGGGCTGACCTAGCTGCCGCAGCATATAAGCGACCCTTCACAGACAGCTGGATATCGCAACCACGCCATAGATGTCTTAAATTGCTAAATGCCAATCGTGTCTTCTGAATGTGTACCGCCACTTCATTCGTGATGCATCCGACGGGTGAGACGTAGCTGCCTAATTGGCAAAATTTATCCAGTTTCTCTATTACTTCTCCAGTTAGCTTGAGTCTAAGAGCTGAATCATGCCAGTCGTTTAGCAATATTTTCCAAAAGCAAATAACTGATGGAGTTAATGAGAACGGAATACAGGGTACCTTGATTTCATCATTCCAATTAGGAACATATTTAAATTCCAACTTTTCTGTCAACGAAGCACCGAAACTACAACTTGTTTCCCGTGAGATAAAACAAAACTTCATCCGATGGTTACACAGAGGTGAAGAACGGCTTTACTCGCTGAGATCACCTAAACCGTGACCGGATGCACTAGTTCCTGTGATAGTTTCACGCACGTTGGCGTTTGTGCATCTGTTAGGTGATATCGTCATTGACCTCATTTGTTCGTTGACAATCTTTTCGTTCTCCTCCCGCCCCGTCCCCCATAATTTCTATGAACATTATCTTATTTATCACTTTTTGAACTAGCAGAAAAACCAGGTCGCAAAGATTGGACCCGATTTCGACGTGCTCAATATTTTTGCA